TTTTAGCTCATTTCGTTTTACAGTAGACTTTTAGATCTCCATTCTTATCCTTATAATGCCAGAAATGAAGTTTGACGTTTAAATTCCTGCCTGTGTTTGCTGTTTAGTAGAATGTTTAATGAAAAAATGCCTTTTTGTGCGTGTAGTCTGCTAGGGTTTTTCCCTCCGTTCTAGGGCTTTTTCCCTAGCCGCCTTCGCCTTTGTCGCCGACTTTCTTGCGTTCTCATGGCAAATAAAAGGTTGGATCCTAGTTTTCTAGAGGGTAAGCACTCCAAATCCTTCAAAGATGTGTTGTTTGGTTCCGTTGCTTCGGTTAGTTTTCCGGACTTTCGTGTTTCTACCATTCAGGTTTTTGGAAGATGAGTTCTTGCATCTTGCTAAACCGTTCGAGTTTGCTTTGGTGGGGAAATTTCCCCTGAAACGGCCGGTTTTGGATTCCATTCGTAGGTTTTTTTTTCAATCTTAAACTTTCCGGCGACTTCTCTGTTACTCTATTGGATCAGTCTAATGTGTTGATCAAGCTTTCTAATGATCTTGATTATGGGAGGATTTTTGCGCACCGCTCTTACTTCATTTTTGGTTGTTTCATGAAAGTTATTAAGTTGTCGCCTATCCTTGACCTGTCTGAGGAGTCGCCGATTGTCCCTGTTTGGGTATCTTTTCCGGGTTTGCATCCTCACCTGTTTTCTCCTAGGATTTTATTTGGATTGGGGTTGGTGTTTGGCCGTCCAATTCAAACCGATAATGCAACGGCTGTGGGCTCGCGTCCCTCAGTTGCACGTATTCTTGTTGAAATTGATATCTCTAAATCTTACTCTAATTTGGTTTTGCTGGGTCCTGAGAAATTTGGGTTTGTTCAAAGGGTGGTTTTTGAAGGCTTGCCCAATTTCTGTCAGCATTGTAAGCCTGTGGGCCATAAGAAGTCGAAATGCATTAAGCTTTTTCCTCATTTAAGTCCGACTGTGGATTTGACTCTACCGCCGGTGGACGCTGTTTTAAAACCATTAGTGAATTCTGTTAATTCTTCTATCCCGATTGTTAACTCAAATCCTCTCGGTGAAATTAATGTGGTTAATGGTGTGGTTCCTTTAGCACTAGGAGCTTTGAATTGTGATAGTGCTCTTAATTCTGTGGAGGCTATTGCATTACCCACTGTTAAATCGTCTCCTGGAGCTGTGGAATCCCCAATTCCGTTGGCTAATTTTGACGGGTTGGGGGATGCTGTTTTACCTGGTAATGAGGTTGGGGTTGGTTCGCCCCCTTTTATTTCGCCTGCTGTTAATATTATTATTGATGTAGTAAAGTGCCATGGTGTGGCTGGGATTGTCGAATCGGCTGCTCCGTATCTGCTGCTGAGGTTTCCGGTTTACCTGCTGTGACTGGCGATAATTATCTTGAGTGTGTGCTGGTGGAGAATTTGAATGGAAACTCGGTGTGCTCTAATAATTTTGTTGATGTCCGATCCCGATAAATTTGGTGGATACGCATACTATGGTTAATCGTTTGGGTGAAAATTCTGGTTTTGATATTAGGAATCACGTGGATTGGTTGAATGGATCGTCTGAATTTGAATCTGAATCCGACTGTTCAGATTTTGGTTTGACCTCGCCGGATTTGTGTGGGGTTTCTGACCCTGGGAATGACTATTCTCTGGTTCGTGATAGACCAGTTAGTGCCTCTCGTGGGAGATTTCGTGCGAGGGGCTGGAGAAGAAGATAATTGTTTACTGTATACTGTTATTTTTACCTTTGCTTTTCGGGTTTGGTTTTCTGGTATGTTGTCGCCGTGGTGGTCCGCTATTTTTTGGGCTATAATGTGGCTGGAGCTCGTGTCCTTGTCGTTTTGCTGGTGGCAACCTTTGGTGTTGATCGTAGAGTTGGTTGGTTTCTGGGCGCTATCTTCTCCTTATTGGATGGTCCGTGCGAGGCTTCTGGGATGCTGGGAGCCTCGGCGGATTACTGAGCCCATTTTTTGTTGTATTTTGCCTTTTCATTTTATTTTTTGCCCTTTGATGTTGTAACCGTGTTGTTTTTCCTAATATATTAGTTTTTTTGTTTGCTATCTTCTCCTTATTGGATGGTCCGTGCGAGGCTTCTGGGATGCTGGGAGCCTCAGCCGATTACTGAGCCCATTTTTTGTTGTATTTTGCCTTTTTCATTTTATTTTTTGCCCTTTGATGTTGTAACCGTGTTGTTTTTCCTAATATATTAGTTTTTTTGTTTTAAAAAAAAAATAGAATGTTTAACGATTTTATTGCCAAAAATTTCAGTAGGCAGGAATATCATGTTTTCAAAAAAAAATTATGTACAATGAGGGAAGCGCAGTTAGAAAAATCGATCATGGGCCTATAAGAAAATATAATGTGATGAAGGAAGATGATAACCGGCTGCGGTTAACTCTACTTCTTTTTTTAACAGTATTTTTTTTAGTAAAAGTATATACATATAACAATATATTTTTATTTATTTATTATTATTATTATTATTATTATTGTTGTTGTTTTTGTTGTTGTTAAAAATAATTATTTTAAAAAGAAATCAGAATTTTTTTTAAAAGAGTATTTTCTTTTAAAATATTCTTATTCTTTGAGAATATTCTGATTCTCACATAATATTCTCCTTCTCCCCTCTCACATATAAATAGCCCTTTAGGGGTAGGAGAAGATTGCCTCTTCTTTTTCTCCTTTCTTCCTTCAGCCATCTTAGGGTTTAGGTCTTCCATTATCATGAATAGGTGGCATCCCCAATCAAGTTTTAGTATCCTTCTTTGTGTAGTAGCAGCTCTTGCACTTCTTCTCCTTCTCTTCTGAATTTCAACTTATGTTGGAGGCAGGGGTGTCAATTTCGGGTCACGGGTCGGGTTCGGGTCGAACCCGAACTGACCCGGGTGGAAAACGGGTCAACCCTAACCCGACCCAGGTAGAGAAACGGGTCGAAAATCCGAACCCGGACCCGACCCGGCGGGTTGCCGGGTTGACCCGACACCCGGAACCGCGACGGCGGCAGCGCGAGCGGCACGCGGCACGCGGCGGGAG